GGGGTAACTTCGGCGCAGTCACGAAAACAGTTTGTAATTGCACTTCAGGCAATCCCGCGAATACAACACACCCCCACGCGACCCCACCGGACCCGAAACGTACGTCACATACATTCAGCATTACCGGCCCTTTTGCCTCAAGTGCAATTACAAACTCAATCCCTGACTGCGCCCCCCTATGTCACGACAGATCTGGACTCACGAGCATGATGCAGCAAGCTACCGAGTACAGGTTGCTGGCATTCCACTTGAAGAGAGTGCCGCAGCCTTCATCTCCTTCAGTGAATCTGTCATGTAACTCACAAAGAGCTTTGGGTCTGGCAAACAGTGTTCGTCTGCGTTGACTACGAACCTGATCTTTCCATCATAGCTGATGAAATGAATTGTCACGCCATGCACGTTACCCAATGTGGACGGGATGATGCTTGATATCACATTTCCCTGCCATGCTGCCTTCTGCGCCGGCCCGGTCACGTTTGAAATGGCGAAAGTCATCCGCAGACCAAGTTTCACAAGTGTGTCCGCTGCAACGTCCTTACCCAGACACTTCACAATGCTCAACATGAGACTATGGAAGATCCAGGGACTCCAAGAAGCCTTTCCTCTGTCACAAATTGCCTTCATTGCTCGGACTCTCTCCAACGGGTCATCCAGCTTCTGGACAGGAAGGCCAATTATCATCGTACTGACATGGTTCCCCAATCGAAAAGTCTCTACATTCGACACTCTTGTACCAAACTGCATTCCCCGCAGATTCATCAGGACTTGTGCTCGCACACGAATCCGCTTCAGTCTGGAACACAACCGTTTTGCCACTGCCTCTTTCGCTGTGGGTTGGCCTGCCTCAACCGGCGTAGTACTAGGCACTCCCTTTATGCCCAAGCCCGCTTCTTGGGGACCATTCTCCTTGCAACAGTCCTCTTTTGGTCCTTCTTCTCCTCTGTTTTGATCAGTTCTATTGTCCGAAATCTGCCCCTGCCCAAAAGAGACAGCTGCCAAGTACCTGTGTGTTCCAGCAGACACAGCGGCAAGCAGCACATCGTTCACAGTCGGTAGCGGACCACCGTGGCGCGCTCTACAACCTTGGCGGATCACTCTGATATCGTCGAGGCTAATCTCCTCTGACCGCCTGACGAGCTTGTACGCCCACTGACTTTCTCTGGTTCCTTTGAGAGGAGTGTCACTATCGCCGAGCGCAAGAAGCGTAAGGGCGGAATAGAGAGAGTCCACGAGAGTGTTCACCAGAAGAACGGTAAAAAAGAAGCAGCGAGCGATGGCAAGTTGAAGCCATGACCACCACCGCCTTGGAATCGATGAGGTTGGGCCATCGCATTCTGAGGAGGGCTTCCCCTCCCCTTGACTATGACCCAAGGCTGTGTCAGCGGTCGTAGCGACCTCACTATTTGCCTGCATTTGCTGCTGCTGCCCTCCTGAACTTGAAGGCAAGACGGGTTTCTGACCAGGAAAAGAGACCTGCGCACTTGGGTCATCTGCACGGCGTAACGACGCCACGAGGAGCGACATGAGTGAAAAGCCATCGCCAAGAGCATGGTGCGCATGAAAGATGACGCACCCGCGACTTTTACCTTCATGCTGCCACATCAGACTATGAACGTGCCAGAGCGGGCGAGCCGAATCAAGAGGTGCGGCCACAGAAAGACCAGATGCATACTCCTCCACGCGATCCTCCCATTGCGCTTCAGATTCAGCAGCAATTGTGGCTTCGGTGATATGGTCCTCCAAATGTACCTCCGTAGGGACCCAGACATCGACCCCGTCTTTGTTCATGACAAACAAACTGCAACATCGCTTGTGCTTGAGAAATTTTTCTCCGAGAAATTGGCAGAGCGAATCCTTTGTCATCGGCTGCATCATCACCAACATGCAAACGATGTTCACCTTGTGGGTTGAGGTATTGAATGCACTCCCTGTTGGAGTCACGGGCGATGAAGGTTGGCTTTCACTGCAACCAACCATCAACCTTGAGTGCTGAGGAGGCCCTCCCTCAGTGCCACCGTTGACCTGGGACGATGCCGGCTGGACAGATAGGTTCTGCGCTACTGCTTGGCCGACGCCCGAGAAGGCTTCCTCACTAACAGCTCCTGCAGAGTGCTCTCCCTCCAGAGGAGCAGCCTTCGGATGATCCTCATCATCACAAGCACCGGTCCGGATGCGGTGCATCTTCAATGTGGCCCACTCTACTTGCACCTCGTCACCAGGAATGCAGTTCAACTCCCCTGCTACTTCTACATCCTTCCCCGCATGATTCGGCTTCAGAGACATTTTGCACAACTCAGCCAAGACCACTTACTTCCTTCAAATTAACTGGGACAAACAATTTTTCACTGAGTAGTAGCCCTACTTCAACCCCCCCCCCCCCCCCCCCTCCTCCAAACAAAGCCAAAAGAAAAAGGAAGCTGTGGTCAAGATTACGCTACATGCTAGCCTAGTGAACTGTCGAACAAATCATTTTTTCCCAAACCCCAAAACCCCAAAATCTCATAATAGCAGAGCTCAACAAATGAGCACAGCACTCGGACCATCCTGATGGGAATGGGAGAGAGACAGAAAAAAAACAGATACTACATCCTCCTCAAAAAGAGAGAGCCACGGCAATAACCTGCGGCTGGAGGCTCACACCCAGTTGCCATTCGGGAGGATAGACCCATGATACACTACTGCATCAGCCTAAGAGGGTCCCCAGCCGGGGATGGTTATTATTTATTGAACTTTAGTTATTCTCTTATCATTTAATTTATTAGAATTTATTAGAATATCATATTCCACTGGGTACACCCATGAATTATCCACATACAAACCAGGTCCTGAGTTCAAACCCAGATGGACCTAGATGAACTTAACACAAGTTAACAGAAAGTTAATACCTACTCGGGGCCAGTCAGTTCGATGATGAAATCACAAGGTCGTCAAGGTCATTGCCCTTTCTGGAGGGAAAAAAAGCCCTTCGGCTGTGCCAAAGCCCAGCCCAGTCATTCCTCTCTTCAGACCACAGCCACTACATGAGATGGTCACACAAACGTTGGGTGATCGCCGACTCAAAGTGGGCCAATCAGTATCTAAACTACTTCTGAAGATGTCACGACCAGTCCTAAAAATAGAAACTCACTGTAGAAACTCACTCAATCACTCAATCACTCACTCAATCAATCGATCAATCAATCAAGCAATCAATCAATCAATCAATCAATCAATCAATCGGTCAATCCATCAATCAATACATCCCATCCATCCATCCATCAATCAATCGATTACTCATGTGCTCTCGAGAACGTAAACGGAGCCCCGACCCATCTGTGAAGCCAATCAATCAACCCAGCTGTAGTTGCATCACCAATCCAACAGAAACTCACAGTCCAGCCAACGTGTCATCCTCCTCGTAGACAGCTCTGATAGATAAGCATGGATGCGACCTAGTTCCATGATTCTCATGCATGGATGCAACCCAATTGCACGAATCTCATCCAGAAATTTCCACCTCCTCAGGCCATACCTCCAGACGGGCAGTCAGCTGCCACACGCCAATCACGAGAGACAGAACCATTCAGATTGTTTTCGTGAAGTCAGTGCCTATCACATAAAAGTCACCACAGACAGGCTTCTGTCGGTAGCAGTTGATTTAGGAATGCACTTCTTTGTAGCCTTTTTTGTAGGCCACATACTTTGGCTCTTTGCGGTATGTACGGCTATTTTGGGAACACCAATACACCCAAGTTCCGACATCTCCCACAAAACCACATATCATTCACCCGAAAATTGAAGGAAGACACACACACACACACACACACACACACACACACACGGAGAGAGAGAGAGAGAGAGAACACGTAAGTCTCCAACCTCGCAGCTGACCTCATGGTCCTTCCATCTATAGGTTTACCAAAATCCAACGACTCTACAGCCGGAACATGGAATGCGTGTGCGTGTGTGTGTGTGTGTGTGTGTGTGTGTGTGTGTGTGTGTGTGTGTGTGTGTATTCGGCCAACAATTATTATTTTTTTCAAACATCGTTCGGGGCCAGGACTTCTGCCCCTTGGGTGGTAAGATACCCAGGGGATAGAATCCGGCGAGGTTCCGATGACTCCTTTCTATTGGTGGGGAGCTGCACCTGCGCGTACTAAGAAGTTTTTTCCGGAATGAAAGCCAAGAGCACGGCCATTCGGCCCTTTTCGATTTTCCCCTGCGCGTACTAAGAAGTTTTTTCCGGAATGAAAGCCAAGAGCACGGCCATTCGGCCATATTTCCCCCCTTTTGGATACTCTTCAACCGCACCGCACCGATGTTCCAACTCACGCGAACGGGAAAAACAAAAATGACATTCTTCTCAAAAAAAAAAAAAAAAACTACATTCTGTGCAAGTTCCCCTTGGGCCCGCAAGCACC